GAGGTCAACATACCTTTTTCAAGCATCATGAGGCTCCCTGAAGTTTAATACAAACCTTTGTGTGGATGTACTTTTTTTATTCTAGGGGAGAAAGACAAGTTTTCATAAGATTCCCAAAATGGTTCATGACCCTGAAAGAATTAAGAATCACTGGATAGAGAATGTATTCTCATGCTTAGTTACTTTTGTAATTGCTATAATAGAGGATTTAGTGCCACGAAGAGGCAACCTTAATATATTTTTTGCTTATGTCTTATTGAATTTTTAATTTAAAATGAAATTGCACCCATGTATAAATTTGTTTCCCCTCTTCCTTTCATGGCTCTATGTGTTTGCAGTGCATTGTAACAGAAGATGGCAATCAGCATTTATATAAGAAACTCTGTCTGTGTGCTGGAGCTAAACCAAAATTGATATGTGAAGGAAATCCTTATGTATTAGGAATCCGTGATACAGACAGTGCTCAGGTAACACTTCAAGCTTGGGTCATGGGAAGGGAACTTGAAAATTCCTTAGACTTTTCTACATCTGAAGTAAAGTGTTCCATTTATAATGTTAAATTCTAAACTATAGTAGCAGAAGGGAGGTTTTTGTTTCATGACCCATAAAACAAAGAGTGGTTATAATGTTTTATTACTGCAAATTTCAGTTTGGTTTCAGTTGATATTTTTCCTTGTTTTTTAGTTGATGCTGATGTCCTATGTTCTTTTGGTTAAGTGATACCCCAAATATAACGGCTGTGCTGAATGGTACAGCTTACATTACACACATATTCATTACTCTACTTTGGGAATATATGATTTGCAACTGAATAATGTTAACAATCTTTTTCCAAAATGGTAAAGCATATCCAAAATTTACTCATCTTATTCCCCAGCAAAGAAATTAATATTCAGAAGATCTTTGTGGTATGAAATCATGATATTGTCATAGAACTGAAAAAGTCACTTGGCTTATTCCTCTGCCCTAAAACAATGATAAACTATCCCAATAAGGTGAAACTTCCAAAAGTGGAGCATTATATAACTTCTTTTGGTAATTTTATTCAGGGTTCATTAATCCTGATTGTCAAGAAGCTCTTCCTGGTTTCACAATACTTTGTCTTACCTCAAGCTTGTTGTTCTGTCCCATGAGATAATGATTTTGCCTTATATAATACTGTATATTCTTGAAAATTAATGTTTTCTTTCAGCCTATTCTTCTTGTAATTAGGAATTTAGAGAAAACTAAAGAAATTTGATTATCTTCTTGTAAATAATTTAGGTTCATATTATCAGAGGTTGGGATCGTAACTTTCGGCAAGGCCTTCTACATACATGAACCCATTGAATCCTCATGATAATCCTATGTGACAGTTATCATTCCCACTTACAAGTGGGGAACTGAGATTGAGAGATTAAGTATTTTTACGTACACTAAATTGCTATTAAGTTTATCAGATGTACAATTTAAACATGTGCCTTTTTTCACCTATGTTCACTGCTCTTTACAGATTTTTCTGGATTTTTGTTGTTGTTTTGGTTTTGAGACAAGGTCTCATTTTGTCACCCAGGCTAGAATGCAGTGGCATCGTCATAGCTTACTGCAACCTCAAACTCCTGGGCTCAAGTTATCCTCCCGCCTCAGCCTCCTGAGTAGTTGGGACTACAAACATGCACCACCATGCCTGGCTAATTTTCCTATTTTTTGTACAGATGGGGTCTTACTCTTGCCAGTCTCAAACTCCTGGCTTCAAGTAATCCACCTGCCTTGGCCTCCCAAAGTGCTAGGGTTACAGGTGTGAGCCACCACACCTGGCCTTTAGAGATCTTTCTTGAATTGCAATACCCTCACTGAAGAACAAATTAAAATTAACTTCAGGATTGTTTTTTTTAAATAGAATTTTTAAAATGTCAATATCAGTGAATATTTCAAGTTTTGGGGTCAATTTAATAGAAATCGTAACTTAGTAGGAGAAGGAATTTTTCTGTTCAGATGTCATTCTGAAGCAATAAGACTATTCTGTACTTTTGAAAGTGCCATAGGAATTACCACTGGTTTCTCCAAGCTCATCATGATCTTTTTTCTGGGGGCTGCAGGTATCAATTAACTATCTCATAATGGTAATAACATTTTTTCAATAAATGTTAGACATTATTATATGCCTTATAACCCCCTTACCACCACAGCTTTATCTACCTCATCTCACATAATCCTTACAGAAACCTTAGGAGTTACAGAGGTGCAAAGAGGTTAGCAACTTGCCCAGGGACATCCAGCTAGTAACTGCCAGAGCTGGTGACTACAGAATCTGTACTGTTAACCACTCTCATTCCTGAGAGTTTGAAGTGTTTAGTGACTCCAAGGAAACATGTCTACTGAGAGTCTAGGAGAAAAGAAAAAATAATTGATTTGGTCATGTAGTTGAGAATGTGCAAACTAAAGACAGTGCCTCTTGCTGAAATTCTGAAGTACTCTAAATGTAATGACATAAAAGGCAAGGAAAATCAGGAGAAGCATTGCTATAAAGGCAGCTTGGGATGAAACATAAAGGGGAATATTTGTAATATTAATTTGGAGGGTGCATCCTGGCAAAACGGGAAAGGGAGACTTATTTTGTTGTTCCCTTACAAATTTGCTAAAATAATTACATTTTTAGAATATTATCAGTGAAGCCTCTTACTTTGGGTATTGCCCACTATTACAAAACATGATCTCTTTTTAATTTAAGAATTTCTTTTTAATGTAGGAATTTCAGAAACAGCTGACTAAAGCTAAGAGAATAATGATCATAGGGAATGGTGGTATTGCACTTGAATTAGTGTAAGTATGTTTTAAAATATTATTTAACAATTTCTCTGTGATTCATGTGATTATTGGCAGACTAGAAAACATCTTTTATCCTGAAAATCAAAGACAAATATAATTGTTACATGTTTTTAAGGAGAAAAATCCACTTTATGTTTTAGCTTTTATGGAATCAATAATTGCAGAAATTTCTTTATAAAACATTAATGTTTCAGGGAATACTTTAGGTCTCAAAGAGTCATACACTAGTGACTGGCCAGATTTGACCCATAGATGTGTTTTATAAGTATGTAGATGTGTTTTATAAGTATGTACTGTGTTTAAAAATAAATGTGTACACTTTTAGAGATTTCTAGTCATAGTGCCACCACTTTTTATCGTTTATACCATTCCTCCTGCTTCACTTATGTTACCTGTCTGGCCAATGAAACCCAAAACTTGTGACTCCTAATTTAGGATATATGGTACTGCCAAGTCTTGGTTTTTGGAAATTTGGGAAATGTGAACACATTAATTAATATGAAATATTTTCCTCTTAAGAGATGGTATTTAAAGATCAAAAAACATTGAAAGATACCCTGCTGTGGCCTGCAGAGAGCATTGTTTCACTTTATGATTTTATCTTCCAATGGATGGCTGACATGGAATAGTCTGGATCTTTTTCAGGCCAGAAAGTTGGGTCAAACCACAAAAAGAACAAATTGAATCAAAATAAAGAATCTGTCAAAGTCCTATCTTTGTTCACTTGGCATCCTTTCCAACTTTCCAAGTAGGTTTTTGCCCCTCTCTTTTAGAGGAAGATCAGTCTTAGTGGAAGCCCATAAGAGTTCTTAAATTGCCTGAGTACTAGGGGTGGCATTCATTATCGCGATTATGAAATTTGTGGCATTGTATGACAAAACGCATACATAGAAAATTAGAGTCAAAACCAAAATATGGGCCAAGAGGTGGGAGATACAGATTTATTATAAAAGGGCTTCAAATCCTTGCATACATGTGACAGATTTTCTCCATTAGCTATCGCCAAAAGTATTGC